TCTTATTTTGTCTTTTTAAATTTGGGACACCGTTTGGCTTGTTCCTCATGTACACACTCACTAACTGAGGTTTAGCAGCCTGCAGTTTCTCTGAGTATTTTTACACATGCCTACCTACGCCACCTATAGCAAAGGAAAGCAACAGCAGCAGCAGTTGACATTTGCGTTGCCTCCCACAGGCAAAGAAAAGAATAACTGCCACAGTTTCAAATTCGTGCTTCCCATCTGCAAGGGTCCCAGTGACATAAATGTTTTTGTAGGCCCAAATCTGTAACAGTTCATGCCAATCTCTCTGCAGATGTCCACCTGCAGGACAAGCTATGTGTATGTAGACCATAGGAACCACATGTGAGCAGGCTGCGCATATACCAGCAAAACAAATGGAACCTAAAACTAATTCTTGCTTGGAAGAGTCATTGTGAATGGATTATATACATCTATTGTGGTACGAATAGACCTCTATGTGCATCTACTGTCCACATTCAAGGTTTGTATCAGTTAGCACCCAGGCATACGGAAACCATGAATCTGGGGAATGAGTGTTAAAGCCACTTTTTTCATAGCTTAACTAAACTCCTAAATTGTCCTTGTTTGAAATGCAAAATGCAATGCTTAACCTGCAGCTGTAAAGTCTACTGCCTGCAGGTGGCAACACTGTAAAGCTGTTACATTTCTTGCCTGTAGATGGCGCATACGAGCACCTCTACATCTGCACGTCTAAATAAATCCTGTTTGAACTCGACCTGGCTGTAGATGCTTTGTATGAGGGCAGTACTGACTCAGGAGGGGCTCCAAAGCAAAAATCATCAGTAGATTATTCATGTATTAATTAGTAATTGGTAACTGCTTTGTTGCAATTTATGTTAGCATGCACTTTTAGAGTTCTAAGCACAGTACAGTGCATAAAAAATGAATTACAACCCTGGGAAACTAGATTTAAGTCTTCCGTTTTGATAATAACGTGCCTCGAGGACCCTACTTTGCTTGTTTTTAATAGGCTTTATTAGTGCCTGTCGTGTTGATAAACACATTTTCTATTCAGGAAATGATTTATTGCCACACAATGATTCACAAGTGTCCCTGACTGTCGGGGGCCCGGAGGCAGTTTCAGGCCTCACTGGGTTGGTAACGCAGCCCTGCCAATGACACTGTGTTCTTGTGTTGCTACCTTCACACATTCCTGGCTTCATCTAGCTGCTGTCTTTCTCTGTGGATCCACCATGCTTTATTCACCCATTTCCTCTGTCAGTTAAGCCCCATAGAGACTTTCACTCTTCACTCTCTAACCAAAGAACCTCTGACTTTTTAAGACGGAGCTCATCTTGAGTTAACTGTAGTCCCTGGTCATCTACATTTGCTGCTGATCAACAGCTTCATCGCTCGCTTCTAGTAAGAACAGCAATAGGACTGTAGAGGGGAACAAAAGGTCAAGTGGGGGACATCCTGTTCAGGTTTCAGGGAAGTAAAAGGTGCCAGAGTCAAACAAGCAGCTAATCGGAATGTAGTTAAATTATCTTCTTTATAATATTATGTAGTTGTGAATTGTGTGATTAGAGAAAATCAACAGTTAGTTGCAAAGGTTGCAAAAAAACAGAATCTCTTGGACTGAAAATCTATCTGGCTGCAAATTGTCTTGACCCACCTGAATCTCCAAGCAGACTGATTTTTTTCTTTTTTTTTAATATACTCTCTGAGTCTTGGCTGTACAACCTAGACGATGTCCCAGTTAAGACGAGCCCTCTGTAGAGAAAAAGGGCCAAGGAGAGCCTTTCAGTGGCCTGGTTAAGAGCAGACGAGGCAGAGCGAGGGACTGGCAATGCCCTGGTTCGTCCATCGTTAGGAATTTGTCCACATAAAAGAGGTCAGTTTCCCTCACAGTTCCTGCCCCCCTTCAGGTTTTCCATAATTGTCGGACAAAAAACGGGAATAAAACTCAGTTCGACAAGTGTCAAAATACGTCAGCAACATTCACTTTTTATCCTCTCTTCTCCACGTTGTTTAATAGGTTCTTTGATCTAGTAGCTCTGTGCTGTTATTATTAAGATAACTGTAAAAGTTAAGAATATCTTCTTGATTCGTGTGTCCAGGTGTGGAAAATCAAAGGCACACATGAATAGGGTTTATGAGTACTTATGTGGGTCTTGAAATGGAAGGAATTTATGATCTTAGACTAAACATCACTGGCCTGCAATTCCTCTGCTTCATTCACACATATTTACTTTTTGCATATATTTTTTTCCTCCACTTGTTTCTTCTCTCCACCATCTTTCTACTTCCCTCCTGTCTTGTCCTGAATGTGGCTAATGAGGCCTCGGGTCTGCCGTAAGTGAAGCAGGTATGTTGATTGGTTTGGCAGAGGCAGGCCCTTGCCAGAGTCACTTTGCACGCACTGCCACCCCTAAAGAGCGCTCAACTTGGCTGTGCTGGTGTGCGTGTCAGAGAGAGATGGGAGAGTGAGGGAGTTAGAGAACTGGCAAAGAAATAAAAGAGAATGAGAGGAGAAGTAGGCAGCCTGCCAAGACAGGAGTAACTGGACCTAGGAAAACACCATTATTAACCAGGACGGGGCTCAACCAGAGCCGCGTTTTGTGGAGCGAAATCAAACCAGGAATATGTTTAAGTCACAATAACAAACTCAAAACAATGTTTGATAGTTGAATGAATTCGGACAGACGGATCACCAAAGTGGAGAAGTTAGTGTCTCGTTATGGTGTCGAGAATAACTGAGAAATGCAGAATAAACATTATTTTTTCAGTAGTTACATTTTCCCTCAGCTGCATTCTGCAGTCTGGAGAGCTGTCGTAAAGAATAGAACTGAAATATATATATATATATATATATATATATATATATGTTTTAGCGAGCGTTCTCTATTTTTAATTGATTTATGGGAATTTCTCGTACTGTTTTTACTCCATTGGAAGAGGATCAGTCGGGACAACTTTGGACCACAGCGGCTAGCTCAAGACAACAGAGAAAAATTGGTCTACAACTCACTTAACAAGCCACAGCTGAGCAATGCCAGTGCATCACAAAATGACTTATTGACTAAGGTGTTTTGGCATTCACGTGGACAGCGAGGCTAGCAGTTTTTTCCCCAACATTTTTTTCCATTCGTCTTTCCCCTTTATTCCTCCTCAGACCGTGTACTTTATTTCCTTAAAGTCTTGTACTGTACCGAGAAGATTACCAAACCACGAGACCTCATGAAAGTAACAAATAATTAAAACGCTACAGCTGAACGCTTTGAGTTCATATTGTGCTTTGTCATAAAGTAATCTTTGCCATATTGACTTTCAAAGCTTATTGCTTTGGTTTATGTTCAACAAGACATTTAATGAATTGTGGGAAGAGTGGTTTTGGCGAAGAAGGCGGAAAATATATTATTCTATCCTATAGTAAATCGTAATGGTGTGTTATACCTTATTGTGTACCATCTACACACAAGGTTCACATAGATTAAAAAGATTTACTGAATTTACTGCACTGGTTGATGTTTTTTACAGCAGTAGAGGTTATTTAACATAAAAGAAAGCGCTGTATGTAGTGGTCTGTAGGTTTGAAAACGCCATCTTTGAACACAGTCTTGTAAACCAGAGGAAAGAGGAGACACGGAGCAGCGTGGAGCCGGTTGCTAGGGGGTCGATAAGTGATGATGTGTGCAGATGTTGTGTCCTACCCTCAGGTCGATTTTCCCTCGCGGTCAGTGGGAGAAGCTCGGCAAAATGGCGGGGGAAGGGGAGTAATGGGATTTAGGAGGAGTAGGAAGGGCCACTACCTGAATCATGCATGAGACAAAAGCATTGACTGTTAGATTTATAGAGGCCCTGCTGACAGGCAGACTGCGGTGTGCTAATAATCTGTGTTCTCATCACACTGAGCCATGCTGGGCTCACAGATGGAAACTAACACATGATAATGGTTGCAAAAACCTCTTCCTTTTACTTAATTGCACTGACTAACAAGAGAAAAGGACATTACGGCCTAAATAAGCTCATTTGTGGCAATTATGGGATTTCTGGGAATTATGTGAAATGCCCTTGTGTCGGTGGGATTTTGCGGGCATCTTACAGTCGCTGTCACAGTTTTCTTTCCTCACCATTGCCATCCCAAAGGACTGTAATGATGTAGTGTTGTGACGGGCTGGTAATGTAATGGAAGAGGCCAGTTTTATTGAGATATGCTGGTGTCAGCAGAAGCAGGCAGGCAAGCAGAAATCGATGTTGAATGAAAGAGCAGGGAGACAACAAAGTGTGTGGGTGTGCGTAGAAGCCTGTGCAGGCATGTTGAAACCCCCACCCACACATGTGAGATGGGCCATCCGCAGCTCCTACAAAGGACGGGCAAGGTGAAATACATGCTGGTTTCATGGCATAAAGGAACAGAGGTGCAGGCTTGATTGCCATAATGATGAATTATACCTTTGGTACAGATAATGTAATGCTTGTATTTATGAATGAAAGGATCAAGTAGCTTAATGGTGATTTAGAAACTAATTCCTGATCATATTTGTATGTGCTATAAAATTCAGTCAGAGTGAACAAAAATTATAACCCCTTGTGTTTACAGTACTTGCCTTGTATTTGACCTTGTTTGCTCCTGTCCTATGGTTTGTGTCACAGCAATTAGATGGAACTGTGAAATTACATGCTGGCCATGTTCATGTGGCACAGTCTGCAGTCAGCTGTCTGCTAATTTCTATCTTTTTTGACTCATTTGCTTCACTTACTGAGCTACTTTTGAAATACAAATGATTGCCATTGACAAATTAGAGATGACTAAGTGTTGTTTCCTCTCTCCCTCCTACAGATGACAGATTTGCCTGCTAAACAACACTCTAAGGGAACTTTGAAGTCTTAAAGAGACATTCACTGACTGCGAGGAGAAAAGAGCTTTTCCTCAAGAGCTTAAAAGACTCGCTGTCACTACTTCACAAATGTGGACCCCCCAATACGCTGTCATCAAATAACCTGGACAATAAAACAAATCCAACTGATACAACGCAAATAAGTTTGTAGTCATGTCTGATCATAAAGACATGACACATCGCCACCTTCGGCACAAGCTACAGAGTCTTGGCCGAAGACTGGATGAACTGGAGGAAGCAACCAACAAGCTGCAAAAGTCTGAGGATGAGCTGCTTGACCTACAGGTCAGTACCAGTTGATTTTATGTTTGTTTGTGTTTGCATTTCAGAGTGGAGTGAGGTGTAGCAGAAATCCATTACATGAAATGATTAATGAATAGTTGAACTTTCTCCACTGTAGGACAAGATCATCCAGGCAGAAGGCAGCAACTCGTCCCTGCTTTGCGATGTGGAGGCTCTGAGGAAACGTCTCCTGAAGATCCAGGGCAAAGATGAGGAGGTACGCAAGGCTGAGGATCTTTGTCGCACAGTCAGAGAGAAACTGGAAGAGGAGGAAAACCTCACACAGGGGCTAAAGGCAGAGATTGAACGTCTTCAACGAAGGATGGCTGAACTGGAGAAACTGGAAGAAGCATTTGGGAAAAGCAAGTCAGATTGCAGCCAGCTCTGCCTTAGCCTCAATGAGGAGAAGAATTTGACCAAGAAGCTTTCATCTGAGTTGGAGACACTTAAAGCCCGTTTGAAGGAGGTGGAGGGCTCTGAGACAAAACTGGACAGAGCAGAGCAGGCGTTGGCTATGGAGCTCGAGAAACTCAAGGGATTCACCCAGACCTTTGTGAGTGAGCGTAAGAGGCTGCTTGAGAAACAGAGAGAGGATGAGAAGATCATTTTAAAGTTGGAAGAAAAGCTGGACCACCAGAAGAATCGCCTTGGCATGTCGACAGAACCCGGTCGTGCAGATTTCATGAGGTCAAGAATTGAAAATGAGCTTTCCTCCACAGGGCTCTTCACAAGTAAACTGGCTGGACGCAAGAAGAGCATTGATTACTTAAAATTGGCTGATGATAAGATTGGAATTGTGAACAAATCTGAGAATGAGAAAAACAGCAGTCTGGAAGAGGAGGACAACAAAGTAAAGGAGCTGACACAGGAAGTAGAGAGGCTGAAGAACCGCCTTAAACAGTTGGAGATAGTAGAGGAGGATCTGAAGAACTCTGAGTCTAAGAATGGTGAACTTCACGAAAAGTTCCAGATCGAACGCAACCGAGCTCACCAGCTGAGCGAACAGGTGGAACAGCTCAGGACACAGCTGTGTGGAAAAGGTGGAATTGGAGGAAATGGAATTAGTAACGTGGAAAAACACGGCAATGGAAGCACTAGCATTTGCTCCAACAGCCCCGCTAAGGTCCTGGAGAATGGCAAAGCTGAGAATGAAGAGATTGTGAAGGGAGGTTTCAGACAAGAGAAGCCTAAATATAGGAGTGCTGCAAACATCTCAGAACCAAGCTCCCCGAAACACAGAAACAGGGACCTCTCTCCTCAACATAAGAGAGAAACCAAACTGAGGAGCAAAGAGCTCAGCCACTCAGAGGACAGTTCTCCTAAATCTGTGAGGAGAGCCCTCAGTCCTGCTCACAAGAGCAGGAGGACACCCAAAACCCCAACTTCTTCAATTTCCTCTGACAACGGAATACGAGGAACTGAGGAAAAGACAAGAGGGGCCACAAACAGCTCTGTAAACACAACTTCTAGTGATATTAAAAAGGTGTCTGTTCTTAGTCGCTATCCTCCAGCAGCTCATGACCAGAAGCCACTGAGGACAGCTCACAAACAAACTGATGGGGACATTAAGAAGAGCAGAGAAAAGTTTTCAAAAGTGTACGTTGGTAGTGATAGCGAATCAAACAACTCTGACGTAGTGCCTGAAAGCTCCAGTAACATGAACAGTATTTCTGCACTAGAGAAAGATACAGCGTCTGCCTCAGATCAGGAGTCCGTAGACCCAGTTCAGGAGTCTGTCTCTGTATCTGTCACTTCCACTCTATCCAAAGAGAATGGATCGTACACAGCCTACAGGTCTCACATCACTCCACTGCTGCCCAATGACCCGGGATCAGAGGGTCATTCCTCTGCCTCTGAAACCGAATCTACTGGTTCAAGGCCCTCTGAACCAGACCCCGTAACTGAGACGACTAGTACAGCTGTAAGCAGTAGGAAGGCTGCTTCCAGGTATGCTAGGTACCCCCATGTCCACGACTCGCATTCAGAGGGCTCTTCTTCCAGGAGCTCATTCGATGAGGAGCTGCACAGCAGGACACTGTTAGCTGAGGGAGGCCACCAGGGGCCCATCCACACTCCATCAGGGATCGAGATCCAGCGAGTGTGCAGCCCACGAGAGGCACTGAGGTCAAAAGCTGTCATCAAGCCTGCCATTATTGAGATTGACAGGAAGGAAGTGATGATTTCAGAACCTTTGTCTGCAAATGGCAAACCCAAGATCTCCACCAAACCAGTCGTGACCACTACTAGTAAAATGACTAGTTGTATAACCATCTACCCCAATGACCCGAGCTCTTCCAGAACCAGCAGTCGCAGCAGCAGTGTTTCCAGTGAACCTTTGCCAGTCAGAGAACGACACACATCTACCAGTAACATCCTCATAGGTAGGTGTTGCCATTTCAGAATAATTTAGGGGGGCTATACTCAACCTTACACAAATAATAAAACTCTTACAGTAAAGGCAACCTTTTTACTTGCTCTGAGAAAATAGACCATTGTAATGTGATTTGACCATCCAAGCACTGCCAGATCAAATCTTTTATCAAAAATCCTGTTCTGAGCCCAGAGTTCAACATTGTGTTCAAAGAATAAGCTATAATGGAGCTGGTAGAACATGTACTGTGACTTTAGTTTTTTCATTTTTAACAATTAAGAAGTATAGCTTCAGTTACATCAAAATTTAGAAAAGGCAATTAAGGTAGCAATGTTTATTCCAAAGTTATATCCATTTTCATGGACCAGCTGAAGAACCACATGAAAGTCAATATTTTAATGGTACAGATGCTATGATGTTTTTCCTGTGAAACGCTTTGTGAAGATTTGTGATGTCATCTTATTCATTGCCAGGCCCCAGCAGTGACCACCATGGCAGTATTTCCGTCCCTTATGAGATCTCCATACCCAAGAGTGAGATTACGATGCGGCCATGTCAGGACCAGGACTGTGGGGCAGACAACCACAGTGATTCTTCATCAAGGTCCAAACCCCACAACACTTCCCGGGTGGAAACCACCACCAGCCACCTGTGTTGCCAACGCAGCAACTACAGCCTCCAGTCCTCCGACACCACCTCCGCGGACTTCAATGACACAGAATCAGGATTCGAGAGCAGCAGTAGCACAACCACGGTCACCAGCTGGAGAAGCCAAAGACAAAGCCAGCACTCCCAAGAAGACAGTTTACCAGACATGAAGAATGTGACTGTGAGAAGCACCTGGAGGAACAAAGGTGCCATGTCAGCGGAGGAGGCAGGTCGAGGAAGAGGGGGTACAAGGGCAACGACGGACGGTGGGTCTGAAGATGAGGCAGAAGCTGCAACAACATGGAGGGCTTATCGAGCAACCACCTTTGACACAGAAGAATCAGCAAACAGTGGAACAGGGGCTGCTGGGAATGCTGCAGCACAGAAGGGAGTCAAGCCGACTCCTGCAGAGGTGAGACTGTAAATACATGTATAATGCAAAGTCTCATTCTCAGAGTTGAGAATGAGGATTTTTCTTGCACAAAAACTAACAGCTGCATGTTTGTGTTGTTCACTGTCTCAGGTGTACATGCGCAGAATCAACAGCGGGGCTACAAACGCTAGAGAAGTCGAAGAACCGGGTGTTCGCAGAGGAAAGCGCTCTCAGTCTCCCAGTATGGAAACTGGAGGCTTGGGAAGGACCATACCCCACGCACCTGTTACCTCTCAGTCCTGGAGCCGATCTTACTCACAACAACCACCGGTAGGACAACCAACTTCAGGCTTTACACTTTTCTGCAAGAGTGATTCATTTGAATAGTTAATCATTCACTAGCATGTGGTCTGCCTGTCTCCATTAATGTGACAAATGTTTTCTAGGACTGAGCTGAGAAGTTGTTTTTTTTCCCAGTTTTGTTGGCATTAAATGTGAAATCTATCAAATATACCTCATGGATACAACTCATTTTCAAACTGTTTTGGTCTGGCCATCTCTGAAAAGCATAATGTAACTTCTAAAATCTCTCTCGGTGTACAGGTGAAGGTATTTTCCACACCACTCTGCAAATAGTTTTGCCTTGCAGATAAAGAATGAATAAAGTACAGCCGCAGTTCTTAGCTCCTGGTGTGTTCGCTTTGCATTAGAGCTCAGCTTGTATTTTTCCCTGACGCCAGGCTCTGCAACTTCAAGCTTAGCGCAGCAGTTCTGCAGGCTCCACTCCTGCTGCCCCAGCAAGCACAAAGAGAACAGGGTGGGACGACAAAAAAAAAAAAAAAAAGAGGGAGGATGGAAATGAAAAAGACCTCAACAGGGGGAAAAGAAGGTTAGGAAAACCTCAAGGAGAAGAAAATAGCTTTCTTTTATTTGAATGTGCCACCACATTACAGTGTGTGACCCTGCCCGGCTGGATTGTTATTCTACATAAACATTACTGAAGATAGCTGTACACATAACGTATGCAAAGGTGTGTGATTGTGTATGTTACTGTGTAAAATCTTATATTTATGGATTTAATTTGAAGTATTTTTCACATCTAGTATGACAAAACTTTTTTCCAGCCAAGTTGACATATTACTTCGCCAAGACTGAGGAGGATAGAGCTGCACAAAGTACATGTGCATTCACATGTGAGCATATCTACCGTTTAATTAATGGAGTGTGAGCGTTTACACAAGTCTACAGAAATACGAGGTGAAAACTACTAATGGGATACCGTATTAGCTAACTTGTCTATTGGTATATAATATATTGTCAGATAGATGTGATGCTGCTTACAGGCCTGGCTCTTTGGCTGCAATAACATATCAGTCTGTCAGCTTGACTAATAGGCTTGACTACAGGCCTTTGGGTACGATCCCAATGTGTTCCCCTATAAATAAACTGGACGTCGCCAAGGAGACAGACACACACAAGCAAAGTGTCGACTGTCTCATCCATCATCTTTGGCGTCCTTTGCGATGTAGTGCGATAAAGATAAATCCAGTCAAAATGTTTTTGACTCATGTTTGTATAAATTTACTGTGGAAAATAATCCTAGAGAGACTTCTTATTTTTACTTTACACACTTTATTATGTATGAGAACATCTTATGATGTACTTCAGTCTTGATGTTTTTTTGTTTTTTTGTTGTTGGTTTTTTTTCCCTTTTGCTGCGATGCTTGGACCATGATTGAAGTGATCTGAATTTATAAGTACTACAGGTCATGATCAGTTATCAGCTTCAAAGGTTCTGTTTGACAACTTTGAAAACTTTTATCCAGTTTAAATTTGCTCTCCAGTCAATAATTTAATACCTACAAACTCTGTGTGTCAAAGTTACAATTTTTTTCCATGAATATAATCCCTTTACACCGTAAAGTGGTTGGCGGAAGCTCTACACTGTTGCTTCCTCTAGAATCCATGGATCTATGAAGTTCTTGCCTCTTTACACTTACCTTTCCTCATTTGCTGCACCTCAGCACACCAGCTTACTAACGGCTCTACTCAAAAATATTCTGAATTACACAATTGCATGTCGAGAATTGGAGGATTTCAGCCATACGTGTATAAATCCAAAGAAGAATAATGCTGTAGAAAGTCCCACCTCACAAGCTGATATTAATGGTTCCTCAGGTTAATCTCCTGTTAAAAAAAAAAAGACTGAAAATCTGGCAGCAAAGGCATCAGAAAAATTACTTCAAAAATGGTGGAGTGTTGTAATGTTCATTAAACTGTAAAACATATATCTATGTTCTTGTAAATAACATGTTTAGCTAATATACAGCAGAACAGTGTCATTTTGCAGTCAGATATTAAAAAAGGACCAATTAATTTATGTAAAAATACTGATTTGATACTTTGGGTTTTTTGGGGGTATTTGTTGTAACGGTCAGTGATAATTGTATTATTCATTTAGTGTGTAAATTGGCAAAAATAACTGTCAGTCTCCACTCACATAGATCCTGACTTAAGTTAGTATTTAAACAGTTTTAGTTTCGCTCGTCCTCAGTTGTGTTTTGTCAACATTTTACATGTAGAAGGAATGCTTCTTATGTTAAATAAAACTTGGGGACTCAGCATTAGACTGACAGCCTGCTGTGGCCCTCATGAATACTTGTCCAGCTGTTTCCTCCTCTTCTTTGTCACATCTTCAGTTTCACATACAGACACACACCTTTACAGTATCGTTTATAGTTGTCCGTTTTCACAGCAGACATTAGAACATTCATCTTGAGTCTTTTCTCTCCCGCCGCCATTGTATAAAAACATAGCAGCTAACATGGTCTGTGAGCTGTAATTGCCTGCAGGGCCCCTCCTTCTCATTAGCCTCAATGGGCTTAATGAAATCTGTCCAGCACTGAGCTTCAACCCTCTAACGCCCCCTTTCATCGCCAATATAGACCGGCAAAAAGAGTGTCAGCGGCCTTTGTTTTGCAGACGTTGACTCCTCCTCTCTCACTCGCTCTTCGTCCTCCCTGCTTCCCATCATTTAATTTGTCATCAGGCCCTGACGTGAACAAAATGACTTGGAGTAACGTATTTGAGGATCTCTGTCGGGGTCAGTGCCTCTCAGTTCCACCACACGGCCTTGACCCTTTCCCTGTGTTTTCAGGACTACAGCCACTTGACATAAGGCTCCTGTTTTCCTCGTTCTGACCCCACATCACTCACCCGTGATAGCCTTGGTGAACCAGAAGTCCTAGACGTCAACTTTCAAACAAGCCCCTTCTCTGATGTGCGAATCAGCCGGAACCTGATTAACTGCTGTAGCTCCTTCAGTTTTTTATCAGTTGAGCACTTCGTAATTTTGTTGTAGGAATTTCCTAGATACCACTCGGTTGACTCTGTGGTGTGGCTAAACCGTATTCATCCTGATGTTTGATGCATGAACTGGTCACTTGATTTGGATAGCAATTAGAAGCAAAAATTGCCACAGTTTAAAAAAAAAAGGATGCTTCAAAACATGATTGGGCTTTGAAGCATGTCTTGGAGCACAGCCGATCATCCTTGGTTTGGATTTTCAAAACGTTTCAGTGGTCTGAACAGCATCCATTTCCAAGAGGCTTGGATAAATACAGCTGTAGTCAGGACAGTGGAAGGTTAAGATTAGTCTGTGATTGCAATGTCAAAGGTTGATAGAAGGTGGTTGTATTATTACAAGGCTGTAGATGGAGCGACTCTAGTCATCACTAACTGACATCCCATCAATTTGTTATTTAACTGGATATCTTGAGTCTTCTCTTTCTGGCCAAACCTTGATCCGCCGGAGTTGCGGCATACATGTGTTTCTGTTTTACTCCTCATAAATTCACTTTGAACGTTAAATGACTGGTTGAAAAAAAAAACTTGAGCACAGGAACATTCTCAGCATATTATCAGGAAATGGGTTTATTTTTTTCTAGAGATTAAAATTTCTTATTTTTATGCCCATCTTTCATGATGAAGCAGTGAGAGTAAAGCAGCTTACTGTAGACCAGTAAGGTGATATTGATCAATAGTAATTAAGGAGGAGACAACACTCCCAATTCCCATAAGTACCCTGGAGCAACATGGACAGACCGATAGCTTATTGATTAGCGTTCTTTTTTTAGCCTCATGCATAATTCATTTGGATGTCATTCATTCAAATCTGTATGGTGGAGAGAATGACATGTTGCCACGGTAATATCATGGCTGATCAACCTTGACTGAAGGTTTCTGGTTTGTCTAATCCGTTGTTAACAGTTCACCTTTTGTATACATGGCAATATTGTTCTATCAGTCCATCACTGAAATATCCCAACTGATCTCAATAAGATTTTCTGCAGACATTTAGCATGTCCAGACTTTTGTTGTCACATCTGATGGCACCATTTTGATGTTGCCATTTGCAGTTGTCCCCATAACTGTTGAATGGGTTATCAGGAAACTGGCCCCCTTTGTTATGAATTGTAGGTTGTTGATTGATGATTAATCGTTTTGTCTGCAGTATGATAGCATTTTGAAAATGCTTGTTGCCTTCCACCAAACCATGGTGACATCTTTCAGTGCCTTGTATTTATCAATACAACGCCTCCACATTGTAGCGGTATTCATCATGTGTGGCAAAAACAAAAGCATCAAGTCCTCATGTTTTGAGAAGCCAGAAATACCCAATATATCATTTCTTTTTGTTTAAAAAATGACTAAAACCAGTATTTGATTTTTGAAATAGTTGCAGATGAATCATAAGGTGGTATACTGATCAACTGATTGTTTAACTGTTATTAGCATTCAACTGAAAGCACCGTGCCAAAGTACAGCCCCACGTAGCCACGACCATGACTTACAGGACATGGCTCCAGACACACTTGAGGGCCAAGTCTGATATGAAAGGGCCGAACAGGCTACAGGTCAGTGTTAAAATGGGAATTGCTTGCTTTTTGCAGCAGTCACTCCACACCTCAGACTCCAGAACAGAACAGCACTGTAGTACTTCCTCCCCATTGTAGCAGTAGGAAACCTCAGCTTGTGCGTGAATGAGCCATGAACTTATGTTTGGCTGAGGACAGCGGGGCCGATATGGCCGATGAGCGAGATACCAAAACATCCTTTGTTGAATCAGAAACCAGTGGCAGCAAGGTAAAGTGTGGAACCAGAGCTGCTCCACTATTCACTGCTCGCCTGATGTGACCTGCATAGAAAAATCCCTCTGGAATAACACTCTGCACAGCAGTCAAGTTCAGCTGTGTGGCATTGTCACTCGCAGTTTAGACAAATCGGAGAACAGACATTGCTCAAAGGACCCATGGGCAGCAATAAATGAATGGCTTTTGTAAATCGTAACCAATATACCATGCATCATCATCATCATCATCTGGGTAAACCAGAGAGAAGTTTCACCCTTTCTGAGATTTTTTACCTGGAGCGTCAAGGGTATTGTGTTGCTGTAGAACAGATTTAAGAGTTGGGGTTGGCAGTGCAACATCATTCCCTATAAATTGGGCGAGAGACCAGGGGCAGATAGATTTAGCACGAGGATATAATTTGTTCTGCAGAAGCTCCAATGTGTTACTTTTTGACAAGGCGTTGACTTTTTAAAACCCGCTGCCCATTATTCTACGTCTTCTCACACGACTTCTATTTGGTTTTCAGTGTGAACTCCTAGAATTAATGTACTGCTGTAGTGAGAGCCTTCATTCTCTTCAGCTCTCCAGGGTGCTGAATAAAGGATTCAAAGAGACATTAAGCCCTTTGTTTCAGCATTTTGGAAAATGCGCTTCTTTGCTTTTTTCCCCCAAGAGTTAGATGAGAAGTTTGATACCACCGTCACGTCTGTTACCTGAGCACAAAAACTGGAAACGGGCAGGAATCAACTATCTTGTCTGTTAAATGATTAGAAAATACTGTTGCTAGCAACTCTAAAACTCACAAAATATGACATATTTTATTGGTTTATTTGGTTCCAAAAAAAAGAAAAAATAGCTTTAAAAGATGACTAACTGTGAGCAGACTCCAGGAAGGAAATAGTCTAGTAGATAACTCACAACTTGGAGCATTTACACTTATGTTTTGGTGCAGTATAAACCAAAGTGATATAATGCTTTAATTAGAGGTACTGGAAGCTGAATTTCTTTTTTTAGCTGTTTCCAGTCTTTATGCTCCAGCTTCTGGCTGTGCCTTCATATTTCCAGCACACATATTAGAGTGGTATCAATCTTCTCATCTGACTCTTGCAAAAAAAATCAAATGAGGCTATTTCCCAAATGTCAAACTGTTGCTTTAAATACTTTGAACGATAGTACAAAAGCAGAACTGTCTTTCTTGGTCCCACGTTTTCTCTGCTGATTTTGTCAAATCATAACACTGCGTTGCTGCAGATTATTAGATGTTTCACCCTAAAAATGTGCTTCAAAGATGTGAACAGAAGCAGCTCTGTGATGACAGCAGCACTTGTTGTGCCAGTTCCCCTGCTGCGGCACATCCACTGACTTGACATTATTTTTTACAGGGCTGACGTGTCCTTTTGCCCAACTATTTCCTAAATGAACTTTAAGCCCCACGGGGAAAAACCCACATTCAACTGAAACTCTTTTAATTTTTTTTTTCAAAGCTGTTCATTTGTATAGTACATTGTGCTCATTGTAGCAATTTGAACTCTTTTCTGTCTGTAATACACACCAGTTGCCACATGTTTTTTTGTTGGATGTTTCTATTTTAGTCCTAATACACTGTGTTGTACAGTAGAAGCCTCCTGTTGAGCGTAGGAGGAACACTTTAGTCCTTTTCACGGAAACCTTGTGAAAGCTCTTGCAGCAGTGGCTTACCATAGAAGGAGAATATGCCACTCTGCTGTTTCCTCCCCTAGTGACTGGAGCAGGAAGTGACCACACTGAACACACCCACTTGGCAGGGTTTTCTGGTGACTGATTTCCTGTCTGTTACCCCTGGAGACTGAGAAAGGCAGTCCAGCAGGGCTCCATTAGAGCCAATTAGCGAGAATACATTCTAAAACGGCATCAGAAGCCAACTCCAACCCACCAAATGTCACTAATTATGGTGCTTTTTTAAAGCTGAAATTACAGGAGCGGGGTGCTGTTTCTGTGTGCTTTAGGAACTGCATCGTCATCTAACTCTCGCTTTCTTCGCACAGGGTTACTGAGGTTATGAGAGGGGACGTGCCATTGTAGCCACCACAGACTAGTAACTTGGGGCTTGTTTTCTAGTCAGCCCACCAAATTATAAATCTCTCAGCTTGGGGTATGTTTGGGGTTTTTGGTTGGGGATTTTTCCCCTGGCAGAAGTCCACATGGCAGACTTTCCTTGTCACACACCAGTTAACATAAACAGCATGTACTTAATGCCCACATAAGGTCCAAACAAGGCCCCAAACCAACTAGACAAAATGCCCAAAACTCCGATGCCCAATCTAGAATATGGATCTGAATGAACTGACCTCTGTGTTCATGTTTCTGTCCAAGCCATAGAATAGAATAGAATAGAATAGAATAGAATAGAATAGAATAGAATGTTGATCCCTCATTGGGGGAAATTTACACTAATCCACTTATTTAAACAAAGTTGCTGCACTTTGTAGATTTTTTTTTTTTTAAATATCGTTTCTGTCATTATTTCTTTCTTTTAGGCTGCTGATAACTTGGACCCCAGTCCGAACCCGAGCCACAGCCCGGCCTCTTGGAGACGACAGCTGCCCAGCAGCGACTCGCACCACCTGGGGAGCTCTTATGACCGCTCATCCAAGACGGCAGGAGCCTCCTCCAGAGGAGGGGAGCTGTGGTCCGGCCGGGGTCAAGGGTCGGGGGCCAGAGCCGAGGGGAGGAGTGGAGCGGGGAGCAGACCATGGAGCCGTCAGTCTGAACATCATTAGACCAACTGGATATGAGCAGGACAGCAGGAGGACAGGTAGGACAAGTCTTTTTTTTTCTTTTTTTTTTCGTCTGCCAACTGAAACTTTTTAATTAAAGGAGAAAGATGTTAATTACCCTTGTTACAATGTCACATCTCTTAAGGAGCTTCTGCATCAAGTTTGCTATTATTAAGCTAACCTAACACAATTAGTAGCTCAGGGCCCAGTGTAGCCATCGCAGTTGCATTGGTACAGAGATTAAATACGTTAAGATACACTCATCCATTATCTATACACCTTAATCCTCACTAGGGTCGCGGGGGGGCTGGAGTCTATCCCAGCCGACTTAGGGTGAAGGCAGGGGACACCCTGGACAGGTCACCAGTCCATCACAGGGCCACAAATACACTCATTGTAAAAAAACTAAAAAAACGCTGTCAACCTTCCTGAAGCATCCTTGCACAAGTCAGTGCCAGGTGAACTGTATTTGCAAGCAAACATAGACAGAAATCCTATGTCCAGATTGTGTTAATAATATCTTCCTGATAACATCCTCTTCTTTCCAGGGTTTACTGGAGAAAACTGCATCAATTTTGTTTTCTTTAAGAGAAAAGCTCAATTTAAACCAAGACAAGTATTCATTAAATTAGTCATTCATTTATAATTAGAAATGTAAAACTTTTGTTTGTTTGTTTGTTTGTTTGTTTGTTTTTTTGGGGGGGGGTTACACATTGTACACAAGTAGCAAATCTGCTGTGGCCCTTTTTGCTGTAGATTAGTGATTGTGATTTTAATTGGACATATACCTGGTAAACACAGACTCTACTTTCCCCATAATTATAATCTTTGTGGCAAACTTTCAAGAAGATTATGAGGAAATTACAGGCTATTCATATTTCCAAAGAAGATAAATAGTTATGATAAAATGTTGAATATGTGAAGGATTAACTAAGATCATTTGTTTCATTTTTTCCTTTACAGCACTCCATTAAGCTCTCATCGGCACAAGGAGGGCCAAACACCAGTCTCCCATCAACTAATGGTTACATATATTACCACCGTCTCTGGCAGACAACATCTGCAGCTTTTGCAACAAGTAAAAGAAAATAACAGCAACATAGAACAGCAAAGTACAGCCCCGACCCTGAGTGTATGCTAAGACATGAACAACTCTCACTATGTGGAACTTTCTTTGTCCTGGAAAAAGGTATAAATGGAAAGCCAGTGCCTGTACAGTCACCTCACCAGCCCATGTATCCTCTTCTGCTTCTTGTGTTGGATGTATTATAGTGTAATCCTGAAACTTGACAAGGGAGAGGCTGGCATGCTGGGGAGGGCTGAAGATTTTCCTGTGTGCCAGAGAGGGTTTAAAGAGAGTTAGAGGAAGAAGGACTCATGAGAGCGAGAATGCCTTTCTCTAAGGCACCGTCACAGTAACCTCAGCGGACCTGGATGTGCCGCTTTTGCTTCCGAATTTCAACGTTTCTTTCATCACTGAAAAGAAAAAAACCCGATCGTCAGTCAGCAGCAGCACTACTCTAACAATGCACCTTTATGTCACGGGGCTTCACAAACCAAAAGATCTCTGCTTAAATTATGACCAAAAACAGGAAGCGAATTACCCTTTTTTCAGATCCGTATAATATTTTCGTCCATTTTCTTGCTTCTTTTCCAGATTATCTCACTCATACATACAAACCATGCAAATATATCCACAGACAAGAAACAAACACATGCACATTTTTAACTTTAGGTTTATTTTTAAATCCATTTCACCACTTTCTGGCATGAACTGACTTCAAAATGGATGTAATTTGAGGTCTCAGATGTTGAGTGGACATTTGCATGTTTCCAAGTAATAAACAAAGCACACTTGAAAGTTGTGATTCAGCATGCACTCTGCTTAAAGGACTGCTGGTTGGCCGCATTTTAGGAGCGTGCCTACAAACATTATTGTGACGGACTGGGACCTTATTCATGTTTTTTGTTGTTTTGATTTGGTGTAATTCGCTTCCTGTTCTGCATCATCTTCTCCCTTTCATCTCAGTCATGTTAAGTAATAAGAGCATAAATTGCACGCAGTGACATGCAATTTACATGTACAAAAAAAAAAAAAAAAAACATAGCGGAGGTGTCAGTGTTTATAACCTTAAACCATGATACAGTTTCCATGGTGCTTTTTCAGCTGTTGCAACTGTCCTCATTCATGTATTTTTAAGAGAGCCATAGTAAAATGGAGTTTCTGTTTGAACTGAACATTGGACTTTGGATTACCAGCAAACCTGGCCTGGCAGGACGGACATTTTTTTTTCAGTCCTGCTGTAAATACTGTGTACCCACCAGCCAGTCATAGGAAAGACCCACGGGGTTGGACTTCCAACAAGGAACTGAACTTGTATGTGACTGGGTTCGCCGTGCGAATCATCCCAGATTCTTTGTTTCTTATTTCTATAGAGGTGTACTTTTTCTTTTTTGTTTGTTTGTTTCATCATAAAACATCAACTTGTGGTTGGTATGTTGGAGCAATCTTTCATTGGCGGGGGCCACTGCAGCTGTGAGTGTGCCATAGAATAGACTTAGCCACTGGCCAGTAATAAAAATAAGGTGTTTTCACTGAGATGCATACCTGTGACAGAAACCGTGCTGACAATTTCAAACTGTAAAGTCTTTCTACAGGCTGGATTTTAAGACTGTTACACAAGATTCACTGCAGAGCGACAGGCGATGTAAACTTTTGATCCCAGAACAAAATTTGTGAATGTTGCTAAGGAATGCAGCTGAGAATGACCAATTGCTTGATGGTTTGATGCATTAATCCAGCACGACTGCATTCTTTGTCTCTTGAATCTGCTGAAATGCAGACAAAGTAACATAACCATAACTGTGACAACTCTGGACCAAGTTCTGGATCTCTTAAAGAACTTGGAACTTTTCAAGCCTGCTCTCCATCTGGTTCATCTGCTGTTGTGGATTTCAATGCTGTGTTGTGTCGGACCCTGCTGGGGATGATCTGATTCAGTCTGAATACATTTCTTAGCGCTCCTGCATTCAACCAGCTGCCATCTAGCTGTAATATTTATTAGTACCCATATATGTACAGGTTCTATAAGTGTGAAGAGGTCTGCCTGGTGGCCGGAGCTCAGTCTGTTGCCACTTTGTCACTTTACTGTTTATGCAAGCAGGAGATTATATGCAATCAAACTGTCCCCCATACAATGTCTGTAGCCATGTCAGTCATGGTCTGTACATAAAGATATAGGAGGTGATGACTGTAAAAAAGTTTGCCAGGTCCAAACTCAAAGGTTTGTTTACCTTCGGAATGCACATGCTAATGTTTATTTCCATTGTTTACCCTTTGCTAGAAATATCTACAGGATGTTCATCTGTGCCTTGAGATACAATAGAACTAGATTGTCCCAACAAATTCAGACTTGCACCATATTCTTACACTTCCTGTACAGATCAAATACATGCAATACTGATTGTAGGGTTTCACTTTGTTTTTTAACTTCACATTTTTTTGAAATTTAAGAACTGTTGTGTGGATCATTGTAAAAGTATTTTGGTTGTCTGAGGGAACTTCTCCCTGAGGGATGTCAAGACTAGGTTCCCTGAGTTTTTTTTTTTGTTTGTTTGGGTTTTTTTTGGGGGGGGGGGTTGTTTGTTTGTTTGTTTGTTTGTTTTTTCTAACCCAACTCAAAAGTACCATTTTAAAGAACATCGACCACACTGCCCAGAAAGCTGTGTCCTTTGGATGTGACTGTCAGAGTGGCAGGGAGCAGCGCAGCCATGTGGCTTCTTCATGGCCACTGTTGGCTTTATGTTGGAGTAAAAACAGACCAGACATACTGTTCAGAGCTCTCAGTGCACATGCCATGACTTGATGATGATATAGTCCTTCTGTGTTCTCTCTGTTATTGTTTGTACTGCCACTCTTCTCATTTACCAAGACGAAAGCCATTTCTTCCCCAATCTCTCATCTTTTCAACCAGCTCCAACTTCCCTTTTAGTATTTTGGAGAAGCCAAGTGTCCCTTTCTTCCCCTTTCCTCTCGTCCTCGTCCTTCCTGTGTTTCTCTGCATTTTCCTTGGATTCTCATTTCCTAGAAGGAAGGCCTTGGCTCTAAACAGCAGTCATATTTGTTGCTGGTTCAGAGAGTTGTTTTATTGAAGGCCAGAGGCCTGTCACCAGACAGTGATGGGCAGCTCCCTGGGTAGCTGAAAGGTCAGAGGTCAGGGCTGCATCTAATCCTGTCTCTACGTCTTGACTCAGGGCTTCTAAATACAGGAGAAAGGAAGACAGACAGCTTGGCAGTGATGTCCACTTGGTGGATAATTAAAACACACTGGGGTATTGAATGTCCAGTGATCATGCTGCCAGAGTGACACGTGGTCTTCTATGGCTGCGTGGTGTTGTTAATATGTCAGCGAGGGTCCTCATTTAAGGCTCGGCACGTGAACTAGTGTGTTGTAAACTTTTGCAGATCCTTGAATAAGAAGGTGGTGAATGACAACGTATGGGTGTTTAGAGCAGGCATGCAGGGCTGGAGACGGCTTGTAGTTTTTCTTTGAGGCTGACGTTACTGTGTGTCAAGATTACTGCAGATAGCAACATAGTGATGCAAGTGCTGACACCAATGCCCTCCTCAACCCCCATCCTGCCTTTCTGGCCTCCAAATAAAGTTCTCATGTCACCTGTTTGTCTCCATCCAATCTATGATACTCTACCATGCAGACACCATCACTGCATGGTAGAGTACACTGTGAAGCCATTCATCTGTCTTTTTCTCTTCCATTCATTCCTCTACCTTTAATTTATTCTGTTCTTAAACCTTTCTCTCCCCCTCTTTCCCTGAAAAGAGTGTTCAAGTTGGGGGTCCCAGGAAGAGCCCAGCTGTCGGAAACTGTAGGTTTTATGACGCGTTGGAGGGCTTCCCTCCTGGAGACAGGGTTCAAAGCAAGCAAGGCTTTTTAAAGAGCACAGTTGAAACTCCATCTTGGGCTATGCACGCTGCCTTTCTTCCTTACAAGGCCCCAGAGTACACTAACCCCACAGCTAACCTGGCTGTACGTTTGCTCCGTCCACTGAAACCCTGCTGGGCTCTGAGTGCCAAAACGAAGACCGGCCGTGACTTCTATCTAAATGTGTTTTTGTGCAGAACATCGCATGTGACGGTTCTTATTCGGCAGCTTCCAGTGGCGACAGCCTGTACAGCATCGGCATGATGGAATGCACTGATTGGTCATTTGGGACTCGAGTGAAGACTTTACAGTTCTCCAGACTTCTACGGCTTTTGTGGTGCTATAAAGAAACAGCTTGTGAGTTTGATTGCTCCTCTGATTTGTGAATGATGGCAGTTTTTGCAGAACACGTGCTGAAGCGGAGCTCTGGTGTAAAAGCTGCTGTCATAGTAGATTATTTTTGGGCGAGGCTAAGGACGATATGAGGAGAAGATGTGGTTCAGAAGGTGGAGAGTAAAGAGGCTGCTTGTGTTTTCCTGCTCAAATACCAGCTAAAGAAATCCTCTTAAGTCCTGGTGGTATATGTAAAAACATCCGTTATTTACAAGTCATTGTTTTTCCCTTTTCATAAAGTAGACTAGAATGTACTTAGTGGAGATTGGAGTGGCGACGTAGAAATGGCTCTCGGGCAGCGAGCAGGCCCTTGTCCTCAAAGGCCTCCATTGTGAAGCCGGGGTCATGGTGTCATTGGGTGGCGTAGACTGTAATCTGCACTTAACCAGCACTTAACTTTAAGACCTCAAACGACTAATGCCCCCTTAGTCCTACTTCGTCAAAAAAGTTTTCCTCTTTCGTGCCCCAGAGTTGTACTTTAAGTCTGTTTTCAGTAGCTGTTTGCTGAATGTAACACAGTCAGATATATATATATTTTTTGCACCAGCCAAATTGGAGTATTTACGAATCATCTCATCATTGAAAGTGAAATTGGCATGCACTCAGTGAAGGAATTACATTTGAACATATATGTTGAGGTATGGCACGCTGCTATGCCGGTCTCAGCCTTCTAACATTGTGCCAAAATCATTCCACAGTATTTTACAGTTTACAGTTTGAGACAGTTGTTTCTCCAGAATGCTGAAATAAAGGGGAAATATTCAATTTGAGGGTTATCTCTTTTTTTTCTGCTTATGTATGTTTTTATTTCTTTGTTAAACAAAAGATGTCTTATTTTGGAATCTATATTGGATAGATTTTATTTAAGGAAAATCTTGTAATTTTGTAAAGTGGGCCTTATTATTGAAATATATTATTTGTCCATCTTGATTTTAAGAATGATGTTTTTTTTTTGCAAGCTAATGTATCTTCATCATTGCTATTACACTCCTGGAGAGTTCTTCTTCTTGTATTATGTGTTTTTGTTAGTTTAATGCGAGACATTTCTTACAACCTGGAGACATGATGACACACCGTGGATCACATAGGAAGACCGTTCAAAAACAGAAAACGAGAGGGAGAGAGAGAGGCCAGCATTGTGTCATAGTCATTGAAGAATGGGAGTTATGTGCATTTTATCAGAGCAGAGCAGGTCACCAGCGCTGAGCGGTTCACCATGTGTCCTCCTGGTTTTAATGGCGGCCATTCAGTGCTCCAGCCTCTTGCTGCTCCCTCGCTCATAAATTCAGGGTTTGTGCATCTTCTGTGCTGTATGTGTGTAAGAGCTGCCAAAGAAAGAAGCGTGCAGGCCCCAGACACTCGTGTGTCTGTATATTTATACATATATATATATATTGACGCACACAAATAATCATAACAGATATAATCAAATAAGAATGAAAAAGGACATTTTTAACTGGATCTCATCTCTCTTCAACTCATACTTCCACAAATACAAAAACTTCTGGCCTGTACAATCAACCTTTTTTTGTTT